TTTTTTTTGCCCAAAACTGCTGTACTGAGACGGCTGCGTGAGCAGGTACATTGTTGGCGTGGCAAAACTAATTTCCCATCTGCCAAAAATCAGGACTTTTTGGTGACACACTGTTATGCAATCTTTTCAGAACCTCTGAATAGAAGACTTGCTTAACAGTCTGACCTGGTAGAACTAACTCCAAATACACTAGCCCCCTCACATAAAAAACAAAACAAAACAATGAGCATGGTCTTGATCTTTGATATCACATGATGAGCTTTTTCTGGGCGAGATGTTGATGGCGTGTCTTCCACTGGCTTGATTGATGTTTGCCTTCAGGGTCTTAAGAATAGCACTATGTCGCCTCACCAGTGTTGACCTTGGAAGAATCTGGGTCACTTTGGAGCTATTCTTTCAAAGCACAGTATTTTTCCAGTTGACATTCTTTATCCTGGTCAGTCAGAACCTGAGGCACAAATTTCGGAGCCTCCCTTCTCATTCCCAAATCTTTCATTAAAATTCTCTGAACCAAGCTCTAAGATAGTCCTGATAACTTCCCTATCTCTTCAATGGTCCCTTGTTGCTATTTGAGCACAAGTGCACTAATTTTGTTGACACTTTAATCCATTCAGGAAGTACATTTGGGATGTAACGAGCTTTGTCATTAATAGACACTTCACCTTTTTTGAAACAAGAAAACCACTCGTACACTTGAGCTTTTCCCATAGTGCTGCCCTGTAAGCTGCTTTCAACATCACAACAGTTTCTGTGGCATTTTCCCCAAGCAGGAAACAAAATTCCACAGCTGCACATGGTTCTCTTAAATCAGCCGTCACAAAAAAGGAGGTTCGAGCAGAACTGCTTTTATGAAAAAATTCACTGTGACCAGAGAGAACCTTCCCCAGCAACGCCACCGGGTGCACTAGCCCAGTGCGGTTTGATTGACGCTGACCTAGGAGGGAAAAATGCATACTATTAAAGCCCCACCCAGCAGAGCTTTTTTCAGTTTTTTTGGGGGGTACCCCCTCGTATATACTGTCACACCAAACTCCCTGCCATGGAGTCAATGCTAACTCAGAGTGACTCCCCCTGTGAATTTCTAAGACCCTAACTGTTGACAAGAAAGCTGCTGGTGGTTTCAAACTGCTGACCATGCAGATGGTAGCCCAATTATAACCACTATGCCACCAGGGTTCCTTTGTGTATAGATAGGACTTATATTTTTATGTTTATTTAACATTCATTACTTAGATTTTTCCTTAGATGGGTTTCCGGTTTCGGGTGTTGTATAATTTAATTCCGAAAAATATACAGATAGTTCTGTTATGTGTAACTTAACTCCATATTAAATTTTGTAAGCTTGACATCTTAACAGGATTCATGTACTGTACTCTGTATTGTGTTAAGAATAGCATTGATTTGGTTTGGTCATTAACCATTGTGGGATTGCTCCCTCTATATTTTAATATGAAGTAATATCTAGTATGTTATTCTCCAAGGGGACTTAAAAACATGTGAATATATATTGTTTAATTCCATTTTTGAAGCCTCCTAATATATGTAATAACTATCTCCCAAGTGATCTCAACAGTACTTTGCTTACAGTATCTTAAATGTTACTCTACTGCTTTTTAGCCTTAAGGTTTCTACTAAGATGTCAGCATTTAATCTTACTGTAACTCATTTATATGAGGAAACTTCAAATGTTTATGGAAAATGGCATTAAAAGATAATGGAATTTTTCTACCGACTTTTCAAGTCCTCATACATGATGATTCATTTCTCTTTTGCTGCTTTCAAGATTCTTTTTCTTCATATTTTGAGAATTTCATTATAATGTGTCGGTGGGTTTATCATAGTTGGAATTCTCTGAGCTTCTTAGGTGGATAGATTTTTGTATTTCATCAAATTTGGGGATGGGGGGGTACCAATATTAGTTTTTTAACTGCTCTTTCTGCTCCTTCCTTTTCCTGAGAAACTATCATGCATATCATGGTACTTTAATGTTATCCCACAAGCACCTTAGGCTCTGTGCTCATTTTTTTTTTTAAATCACTTTATTGGGGGCTCGTCCAACTCTTACTACAATCCATACATCCATCCATTGTGTCAAGCACATTTGTACATTTGTGGCCATCATCATTTTAAAAACATTTTCTTTCTACTTAAGCCTTTGGTATCAACTCCTCACTTTTCCGACTCTCTCCCTCATGAACCCTTGACAATATATAAATTATTATTATTTTTTCATGTCTTGCACTGACCAGTGTCTCCCTTCACCCACTTTCCTATTGTCCACCCCCCTGGGAGAGGGTTGTAGGTAGATCATTGTGATCGGTTTTCCCTTCTCTCCCCACCTTTCCCTTACCCTCCTGGTATGGCTACTCTCAATCTTGGTCCTGAGGGGTTTATCTATCCTGGATTCCCTGTGTTTCCAGCTCTTTATGTGTGTGTGTGTTTACAGCTCTTACCTGTGTACCCATGTATATACTGTGGTATAGCCAGATTTGTAAGGTAGAATTGGGTCATGATAGTGGGGGAGAAGAAGCACTAAAGAACTAGAGGAAAGTTGTATGTTTCATTGGTGCTATACTGCACCCTGACTGGCTTGCCTCCTCTCTGCGATCCTTCTTCAAGGGGATTACCAGTTGTCTAGAGATGGGATTTGGGTCTCAACTCCACACTCCCCATCATTCACAATGATATAATTTTTTTGTTCTGGGTCTTTGATGCCTGATACCTAATCTTATCGACACCTCGTGATCACACAGGCTGGTGT